TGTTGGCATTGGCAGGGTTTAGACGCTGAAACTTTGGCAAACCCCCTGACATTTAGAACTGTGGGAATACCTGCACTCTCTGAAAAGACCATTGAGGGTTACTGAAGATAAAGATGAGGATGATGCAGCCTTGGCTTAGGAAGTCTCCAAGGGGCAGAGGAGCCAGGGAAAGCTCTCCTGTCCTGTCCTCTACCCTTCCCTAAGCACCCACTATTGGCAGCTGATTTTCTGTCCCTGAGGCGGTGCCTGGTGGGGCAAGGAAAGGCTTGGAGCAGTCATGGGGCTGCAGAGGGTGCTCAGCAGAGTTAACCTGCTCCACAGTGAGGAGTGGAAGAGTGGGGCACATTGCCCAGCTCGCTCCCTCCTTGTCCCCCTCACGTTGTATTTAGGGACCCTCCTTGCTCAGACTTGCTAAGTACCTGGGTAGGCACAGGCCGGTGTCTGACCCCCGAAAGCCCGTGACAGCAGAAGTTCTAGGGCTGGTTAGGTTTAACACTGACCTGGGAACTGGAATCTCTCTGTGCTGTCTCATGCTTAGTGGTTGAAAGTGGCAAATCCAACCTGCCTTCCTGGTGTCCCATTACCTGTCAGTGGGTCTGACGGGTGATTGTGTCTGGGTGAAACAGCAGCTGGAGGATTTTTTTTTGCCTCCAAGGAGCCTCTCAAAGTCAGGTTTGCTGATTGTTTTGTCAATAGGGCACTGTGCAGAAACAAATTATGTACTTGAAATGTTCACTTTTTGGCCCAAAGTGTTTTCTTGCAATTTGTTTTTAAAGGCAATCCAGCGTGGTTTCCTTCTATAGCTGCAGCATCCTTTGACAGGAGTGGTTAAAAGGAGCACTTTCTCAGAAATAATAAACCAGAAATGCTTTCCCCATGCTCAAATCCTGAGAGTAAAAATAAACCCTCCCAGCGCTTTCAACACCGCTGTTGAGCTGCATTGAGCTGTACAGGTGCCCGGGCTCCGAAGGATGGTAAAAGCCAGGCCCTTCCCAGCGTTCTGGTCATCACTTGTTAAGGCTCTTTGAGGCTCTGGGGGTTGAGTCCTCCTGGCAGCGGTGGAAGAGCTTTGGCTCAGAAAGATCATGCTGTGAAATGTGGTTTATATCAACTCCAACTACCCACAAACACCTGCTCAGGCCAGCAGGGCTGAGCGGGATTGCAGGGGAGACCCAAGGACGTATTTTAAAAGGGAACCTATGGAGGGTGTTATCTGCAGGGGGGCCGCATGCATTTCTGGGAGCAATATGCATTAATAGACAGTGCTCATGTCCTGTGCCACAACACTGCAGCACCACCCTTTTTATCTGGGTTAATAGAGTGTGCTCTTCCCTGCCTGAGCCTTTCCAGACAGAAATACAAGACTGTTTTTGGGGAAGGGTTCATTATGCCTAATGGCAAACAGTTGAGCAATATGCTGCAATGTACATATGGGTTGAGTTTTTCTTCTCCTTTCACAGGTCAGATAGTCTTGAAATACCTCAACAGCTGACAGCCATGCAACATTTTATGAGTTTTCTTGCCCAATAAATGCAGGCAGATGTTGTAGGATTTGGAACCTTACAAGGCACAGGAGTATAGCTGGTGGGAGGTAGTTTTGATGAGTGCTTAACCTCTAGCTAAAAAAGTAGCAGCTTGAAGAAGGCAATATTTACTGCAGGAAACATTAGCTTGTCAGAGAGCTAAAGCATTGCAAAGAGCTTTGAATGACCATGCAAGTCTTCAGCCAGATGTTGCTCATAGTGTAGAGTAATGTACGCTCTGCTGGGAGTTAGACGAGGGCCTTTCCTTGCATCACTCATAGTCAACTTTGTTTCCTGTAGGAACAGCTTGCTAATGTAAGAATATACAAGCCATTATAGGCAGGCTTATAAAATAGCATGCAATTCAACTGAACCCTGTAGGCATTTATTTTATTAGTGCTAAGTGATCAAACAATCCTTTGAGAGAACTCTCACTGGAACCGCTGTATGATTCATCCACAAGTTAGAAGAAACACCTGGGTCATAGCTTCACTGTTTCATTTCAGGCATATTCAGAAGTGTCCAAGGTAGCCACTCGCTGTATTCCCTAGCCCCAGCCCAGCTTTCTGTCTTTTGGGTGTTCTTGGGCTTTTGGTTACTGCTGGCTACCCCAGTGGCCATAGAAGTGTCCTGCTGTCCAACAGCATTGAGACATGGCTACTCCCCGCTCTGATTCTTGAATATTTCATTGAATAATGTAAATGTGAACTCTGAGTTCTAAGTATAGCCATTTATTCTTTTTTGAGTGGCATGGGAGACTGAGGGAGCAGCTCTCTCATGGCAGATCCTCTTGGACCTCTGAAATGCAAGGAAGGCCCAGACCCAGTTTTCAGAGCTTCCTACGAGGCTGACGTGAAGTCTGCCCCAAGTCTGTCCTCTCTCCATTCCACGGCTCCTTGAGACACTCGTGTGCGCTCTGCATTCACACGCTGCTGCTGAAAGAAAGCTTTCTTTGGCAATGCCAAAACTTACTCCTGAAGATAGTGAAAATAACCCTGAACTTTTATGTTCTTCCTCTGAAAAGAGGGAGGGTTGCTCGGGGAAATGTAGCCTGTTGTTGCAGTGATGGAAAGAAAGAAATGGAGAAACTGAGAGGAAGGAGAAAATGTCATGAAAGGTTCTGCAGGATCACAGTGCAGCTCCCACACCATTGAAACTGTCCTTCACCATGGCAAAGATTACAAAGTGCTTGAATTAAAAAGGGGATGAGGGGAAGAATGGCAAATGAAATCCATCTGTTATGAAGAACAGGAATATAACATCAATCAGCTCACAAAATTTTCTCTCTAAATGTTGCCCTTAGACACTCAGAGAAGGGCTATATCTACTTAGCAGGGAAAGGCTGTGGTGCTGAGTATGTGCAGCATATGCATGGCCTTTATGTGTGCAAGTGTGTTTGTGATATAGATTCTTTACAGGAACATTTACAGTGCCGTACATCTGAAGAACTATTCTTCTCTGGGATCCAGATTGTTTTATTACCAGCTAAATGTTCTTTAAGCTACCTGTGAATGAGGGCATTGTGACATTTAGCAACTGGTTTGATTGAACACAGATGTGAACCGTATTCCATATGGAGAAGATCCAAGGGGAAAGATCCCAGGGTTGTTTCTGATTTGCAAGCAGGAGTTTGAATACGACTGCTTGACACGGCGCTACCAACATAGATGGAAACAAATCGCTCGCTGGCCCCTCTGCAGTAGAGTGAATGTAAAATGTGGCTGCAGCTTGGGGTGCTGGGCTGTCTTCAGAGGCCAGGAAGAAATGTCATGGCCTGGGAAAGCAGAAGTCCTATGGAAATGGGCAGTGTGCATTCAGAAATGGGAGGCAGTGTGTGCATCACTCATCCAGAGGCTTCCTAGCACTGCCCCATCTTGAATGAGCACTGCTTTTCCCATTCAAGGCACCCTCCAATTATTACAGTAAGTGCTGGTACCTGGGAAAGAATGGAAAATGAGTGGGTAAATGGTTGGAACAGCTGTGGAGGATAGGCATAAACTGAAAATGCCAGTATTAGAGGGTTATTGATATTTTTGCAGCATTTTTGAGTGTAAAATTTACCTATGCAGAACTGAATTTTCATGCCCAGCGTTGCCTTCCGGAATGCAGTCCTGTAGGGGTGAGAAAAGTGGTTCTGTTTGATCTCAGTTTTGACAAGATGTCCAGTCCGGGACTGTGTTTCTGAGTTTGATTCCTGGGTCAGATACCCCTCAGCATCCATGCCCTCTTGGGACATGTTCGTACTGGGGAGCCTTTGCAAAGATACGATACAAAATTGCAGTGTTGTTGTTTTTTTTATATAATTATCTTGAATTGTTTGGAAACTGGGAAGCGGTAGTATTGAGTGCAGGTAGCACAGCAATAAACATGTTCTCATCATAATTTACACATAAAGCGTGAGTCCCTCGAGGTAACTCATCCGCCTCCTGACAGCTTTAATAAAGGATGATGGATGGTTCCTGAGCGGCGCTTCGGGAAGCTCCGCGGTCCCCGCGCGTCGCTTGGCGCGCGGGTGTTCGAGTGCCACAAAGTGGTTTGTGCCCGAGAGCCGCAGCGGGGCCGGCTCCCCCGCGCCGGGACCCGGAGGTGCCGCAGCAACGTGCTCGTCCTGCTGCCTCGCAGGGGCTTTTTGGGAAGAGGGCAGAAAAGGGGAGGCTGGTGGAGATGGGGAGGACGCTGCCCTGAGGGGCTCTTCTATGACTACCTTTTGGGGTGGAAAGAGGAGGACTTGGCTTTGGCTACCTGTCCCCACTGGTGTCCCCTCTGTTCCCTGCCGTGTGCCCAGTCCTCGAGGGCCGCATGTGGCAGCAGATTCAGTCCTCCTGCCCCTAGTTCCTCCCGGGCATGTGCTTTATGGCCGGTCCCGTGGGCTTCGTAGCCGCGGAGTTTGTTCAGCTGCCCCTTCCCGAGCTCATCTGGTGCCTTGAAAGAAAAACAAGCGAGCGGGGCCGGGGGGAGCCTCTGCAGCCCCTGCGAAGGGCTGGCTGCGCATCGGCTGCTTTAGCTCCCCAGAAACCTCTGCAATGCCATTCTTTGGGATAACAGCACCAGGGCACAAATTTTCAAATGGCTTTTGAAATTCTCCTGTGCTTGTCTGCATAAGGACGTGCCTGCATGTGACAGGATACATGAGCACTTCAGTGTGTAATCTGTGGAGTTTCCAACATGGGAAGAACAAAAAAAAATGTTCCATTATTTACGGGAAAGAGGAAAGCACTGAGCTTTAAATTCAGTTTGAATCCTTGTTTTGCAGCTTTGATTTGCAACTCCATCAGTACTTTTTTAGTGTATGTATGTGATGGTTGTCTTTGAATAATTTTAAGCAGACCCCTGTAATAGCCCCAAATCCTTGTAGTTTATCTTTGTCGCACAAAACTATTACAAATACTTTGCCTACTCTTGTCAATTCTTTATATAAATCTATAGAGCAACTTTGATTCCTGGTATAGTTTGTGAATGTAATATTCTTCCTCTTAGGCACAACAGGGATTTACCAAGGAGCCAATGGCCTGGCAAACTCGGCAGGATTCGGCGCTGTGCATCAGGTATGGCCACACATAGTGCTTGCCTGGGGGTGTGGTGTGAAGTTCACTCTCGAGATCCTTAAAATCAAGACAAGGGCATCGTGACACCCCATTTTGCCTCGGTTCAGCTACTGCAGGTCTCTAAGCTCCCTCACACCTCTTGTTATTAGCTCATATTTCTATAGGCAAGGACACTCATCTGGGCATTTAGTTGTTGCTGAGCTAGCTGGAAAATCTCAAGCATGAACATTTCTGCAAAACCATTACTGCATTTATTTTTTCACTTTTCTAACCCGTTCAAACAGCTGATCAGAAAAAGTTGCTGATCAGGGGAAAATGCAGCCTGATTGCTCCTTCCCTCACCAGCTATTCATGCCGGTTTTCTAGGTGTAGTGTTGTCGTGGAGATTGCACGTTGCTTGCTGTCCTTCTCAAAATACCACCCTGCCTCGCTCCTATATGAAATTGGTAAACCCTGTAGTGCCAAACGTGTCAGCGGTGATAAATAAAATCCTACAGAAAAAACAGGACTTTCCTGATTTTTGACCTCTTGTTGATTCAGCTGATCTTAATAAAGCAGAAGTGTATTTAGGAGAGGCAGAAATGTAATTTCCAAAGTGACTAAAACACAGTCCGTCGGCGAGAGGGTTCCTCAGCCTTGCCTTGCTGCGTGCTTGGGTAACGCTGCCTTGCTGTGTGCGGGGCCTGGCTCGTTTGTTTCTGAGATGAAAACCATGATATGCAGAAGGTCCGTGTCTCTTTTTTCCCCGAAGGAATACTCCTCCTACCCAAGCTTTCCGCAGAGCCAGTACTCTCAGTATTACAGCTCTTCCTACAGCTCTCCCTACGTGTCGGCGAACAGCATCAGCCCGTCAGCCATCCCCACGTCCGCTTACTCGCTGCAGGACTCGTCCCACACCATCACCAGCCAGAGCACAGAATCGCTCTCTGGTAGGTGCCCCTAATGTCTGCTCTTGGATTTTTTTTGCAAGTATTTTTTCTATTTGTTGGATTTTTGTAAGTATTTACCTAGATAAACCAATTTTCCCAGCTCTTATTACTGACACTTACCAGATCACAGAGTAGAGAAGGGAGTAGAAAATAGAGGCTCTCTAAGGCCAACCTGTGTGGTTTTCATGAGTACCCATGGCTTGATCTCCTCTATTTAAAAGCAGTACAGAAATATAAAACAAAAGCAGATCAGTACTGTGTGTGGCAAAGGGGAGCTCAAAACAAATGTCCATGCTCTGAAAAAGCCCCACATGTTACTGCATGCTGACTTTGGAGCCCACATCTCCATCAAGATTTACATTCACCTCTAACAACTGTGTGTAATCTGTGTGTTCATAAATAAGTACAGGAAGAGAAAGCTTTTCTTAAAAAAAAAAAATCAACACCGTCTAAGTTGAAAGCTTGGTATGAATTCCACACGGAGAAGCACCTAAACCTTCAACATTTTTGGCCTCTGAGTGTTTAACTCTTGCAAGTCTCAAGGCTTTAATGGTTTATGGAATTACTGACGGATTATTATCCTCCTATGCAGTGTTGGAGTGCGGCCTTCACGTATCGTTTCCCTACTGAGGTTTTCATTGGCAGGCAGTAACGTTTGTGTCAAACACCACATAACTTGCAGATGAGCACGGTAGACACCCTTTGCAGGTCTGCTGACTTATGGAACAAATCTGAACATCTGTGGTTGCTCTAAAAGAAAAATAAGCTAATTTTTTTTTTAATAAGTGATCACTGACTGCTCTAAAAGCAGTTGGAGGATTTTCTAGTCTTGAGATCTTATCTCGGGCTTTTTGAGGAAGGAACGTTTAAATTGGGCGTCTTAGCCCCAACCCAGGCTCTTTTGAAGAAGTGTATGCCTGTGTTAGGAAGCTTGGGAGATCGCAACTTAGGCGAAAAGAAAAATTTCTTTGAAAAGGATGTGTGGTGGAAGGTAAGTGAGATATGGACAGGTTTGTGAAACCCAAGCCAACAAAAACAGATACATTATACAGGGAACTTCACCTTTGTTTCTTTGCAGTTATTTCTAGACTACTGTCCCTATGAAATTGTTATTTAGGACTATGTATTTTTACATAGAAATAGAAGTTGAAAATATCTTTCGAGCCATAAATGTTCATTAAATTTAAAAAAAAAATTACAAAAATGTAAGGGGTACTAGTATTCTTTTCTACTATCTAATTTTTCTCTTGGAAAAGTTCGGATGTGGGATATAAAATTTAAAAAGATGCTTTTTTCATTTGAAAAATATGACAGTTATTTTTAATGTGCCATTTTGAAATTATGCGTGTAATCTCAGCTATTTTTGAATTTATTTTAACACAAACCTTTGAAATGAAAAATTAGCTGGAATGAATGAGTGAAAATGAATGACAAGCCGTTCTGAGTGGTTTCTCTGACGTTTGTGGGATGCACAGGGCAGGTTTCCCTGAGCGTGTTTTCTTGTGCATCTGCTGCTGTCTGCTGGCAGATTCCCCGCTTTAATTGTACTGACGCCGTGCAAATTGAAAGCCTTTGGTCTCTGCAACAGGGGAGTACGCGACGACGCCAGCCAAGGAGGCGGAAGCGGAGCGGCACCAGCGCGGGGCGGACGGCAAGGTGCGGACGCGCTCCAAAAGGAGCACCGACCCCTGCCCTCCCGCCGACAGCGAGATCGAGGTGAGGCCCCCGCGGCCCTGCCGGCCTCATCGGGCAAGGGGGAGAACTTGGGAAACCAGCATCGTGGTTTGGTGTCTGTAGGAGCAACATCTCGGGTGCTTTGTCCCATGTAAATTGTTTCTTCTTTTCCCCTCTGGGCCCTTTCCGGGGCTGCCGTGTCCCCCCAGGTGGGTGTGCAGGAGGCACCTCTGCCTGGCGCTCCCTGTGGTCCGATGTCTCCCAAAGCTGCCGTACGTGTTTCCTCACTGACCTGCTTCCTGCAAATGCCTAACGTGCCACTGTTTCTTTTTTTCCCCCCGCCTCGTCTCTCATCGCAGCGTGTGTTTGTGTGGGACTTGGATGAGACGATAATTATTTTTCACTCCTTACTCACGGGAACCTTTGCATCCAGATACGGGAAGGTAATATTTGATTTGTCTCTTTTTTTACCATTACAGCTTGTCCAGCCAAATCACATCGGGAACTGTGGGGGCAGCTAATAAGGCAGCTTTTCAAACAGAGGCTGCCAATCCTGTTCAGACACACTCATATAAATATGTCCTGTGGTATTTCCTCCTGACATGTGAAAATTTCATTTGCTTCCCCTTCGTGCTGCAAGTAGCCCCTTGTTTTCCAAGAGCCGGTGTTGTTGGAGGGCTGCTAGGTGGGACACCGCGATGCGCTTGCTCTTCTCCACGAGCAGCTGTAGCCTGAGCAAGGGGACGTATTTTGGGGTTAGACCATCAATTTCCTAAGACTTGGCCAACAGCTTCTCGCAGAGCTTTTGTGCTCTCAGCCCAGGTTGCCAGGAGGAATAGCAGCACTTCTTCCCACGGGGCAGCTGCAGCCCGCCTTTTTCCAGACCTTTAGACACCCCTTGCTCAACTGTCCCCTTTGGGTGTTTTGGATAAGGTGAAGTTTTTAGGCAACTCTGTGGCTGAACAGACTGAACTTGGCTGCTACAGGGAAAACACTGGCGCTTGGCTTTAGTACTATGTGCTTCAGTTTCCTCCTACAGCATTTTTTTACGATAAACACTTAAGTCACTTTGAATTACGGAATGTCAAACACTTTAAAATGGGTAGGAAAAAAGACAATATCGTTACCTAATTAAAGGTGGATGACCTGTTTGGCAGCTGTTTCCACACATGGCTTTGAACAGTCAGAGGCTGGAAAATAACCCTGCATCTCTCGAGAAAGCAGAAATATGATTTGACATCATTTCATGGCTTTCCCAGCTGTACCTGTTTTACGACGGTTATAACAAGCTGAACGTGTAATTAGTGAGATAGATTTATTGTTTGCTGTTAGGCGTGCGCGGTTGTAAAGGATATGGGAGGGTGTTTGTGGTGTGGAAGTTACTGCGGCGTTGGGAAGGCTGCTAACACTTCCAGCAGGGCTCTCGGAAAAGCAGGCGCGTGTTTCCGAGCAGGGCTTTGCTCAGGCCGTGTTGTCCAGGGTGGCTGCAGTGGTTCCTTTTCCTAAGGATGAGCATACACGTGCATGCTCGGAGCGAGCTGCCGGCTCAAAGTAGCAAGAACATGGTGGATTGGGAAGCACAAACTGGTGTGACTTAGCGCAGCTCCGCGGGCGCCGGGGGGCCGAGCGGAGGCAGCAGCCGGGAATTCCCAGCCGTGCGCCGGGGAGCCGGGTCGGGCCGAGGCCGCAGGAGCTGCCCGCAAAAGGGGAAAAGGGGAGCTCGGGGTTTTGTGCTGGGAGCCTCTCAGAGCTGAGAAATGACAAACTTGTCCTGTCTGGTTGCATTACACAAATGGGCAGAATGGTACAAAGAAGGATTTTTGTTTTGTTTTGTTTTTTTTTTTTTTTTGCAGGCTGTTATTTTTTCATTTGAGCTTTTTTTGGAGAAACTTCCGCAGAAGGATTTTTCTTGCTCCTTCATTTGTTTCATCAGTATTAAATTCCACGGGGCTTTTCTCTAAGGGAAATGGTTGTGTTATGAAAGCATTATAGGCTAACAGCTTGATCCAAAGACAACCTGAGGCTTCAGCGGGCTTTGGAGCAGCCCTTAAACCAAGAGGGAACTCGAGCTGCTCAGGCAGACTGTCCTGGGAGCCATTAGGGAGTAAACGCACTTCAGAAATGTTTAAGTGAGCTGAATCATCAAGCACAGGTGAAGCCGTGAGCCAGAGCTTCAGAGAGTTTCCGAACTTCGTGCTTGAATCGTGTAGGAAGTGTTAATCTCAAAGTAAAGTCTTAATATCAGGGCCTAAAATTCCTACTTTTCTCTTCCTTAATGGCTTCACATGCCTCTAGTTAGACAAGTACCTACTTAGAATCCAATCTCACGTGTAGAGGTTCCCTGCGTGTTCCTTCAGAAGTGACACCTTATGTGATCTTCACCGTTCCTCCGGTGGGTGTATGTTAAATACATAGTGAGCCCCTATATCGTCCTCTCCGTCGTGCTGCTGCAGCCGCCATGCAGCTGCTCGCTGAACCGGGCAGTGCAGCTGGTGAAGCTGAACGTTTCTGGAGGGGTTTTCTGGGCGGAGGAGACAGGGAGGTAGCTGTGGTTTCCAAGATTTGGGACTGCGTTCTTGAAGTTTCTGCCTGTTGTCCCTTCCTTGGTGGCCCTGGCACTAGGGGGCTGTCCTGACAACCCTCCTCTGGGGAGGAGGACGCTCCTGTGCTGGGTGCGGAGGCCCTTCTGCAGAGCGGCCCTGCTTCGTTCCCCTGTGGCGGCCGCGGAGCTGCCGGGCACCCGCGTCGCGCTCGAGCTGGCCGGGGCGGCCACGCTGGCGATGCCTCCCCCTCCGCTCCTCGACGGGAGGCCCTCTGACAAAGAGAAAGAAGAAAATGTCCCAGATCTAGTTAGCCCTGGATATTATGTTCAGGAGGGTTCAGGAACCTGTTCTGCAGGCTTCCCATTGCTGTATGGGTGCAGAATATTTACCCTGCGCCTGCAGACCATGACAGACATCGGGCGCTATTGTGGCTTAAGGTACTGCCCCCCCAGCCCTGTTAATCCCCCGAGCTGTGCTGAGTAGGGATGCCTGTTCCACGAGGGGTGACTCCGACCTTGCCACGTCTGCAAAGAGCCGCAGACAAAACGCGATGGCAGAAACAGAGAAGAGGCTTCGCAGCGCCGCTCTGCCCGAGCGGGAGCTCGCAGGGGGCTTTGGCCCTTTGTTTGAGGCAGCGAGACACAGCACGGAAGGCCTTTTTTTATGGTATTAACTTCAGACACAATAAAAAGAGGTTGCAAGCCCTCCTGTGCCAAAGAAAACCACAAGTCTGTTCCCCTTTCCCTGACTCCTGAGCACTTTGCTGCAAGCTTTCTCCGTAATCTTCATTGTCGAAGCATTTAAAAAATATATTTCTGCATCTCATTGAGTCAAGGAAAATTATGTATTGTATGACAGATTCAGTCTCATGCTTTTAAAAGGAGTAAAATGGAGAAGAAAGGGAGCACCAAGTCTATTGTTTTCCCTTGCTGAGGGATTTGTGCAGATTCTCCTTAGTATTTTGTACTTTTCCTAGTGCTTCCCCAGCATGTGCTATTTCACTCTGTGTTGTTACACTGCCGAGCAAAACTTTAGTGTCAAACTGGATCGTGATTGAAGTGTAGAACTAAAATTCATATTTTGGTGAAACTGATATTCTAAAATCCTGGAACCGAATGGAAAGAATTTAATTTTAGCACCAAATTAAAGAACAGAATGCGGAGTCAGTGTAAACACATGATTTTGTGGGATCTTTATTAGCCCTTTGACAATGCAGGCCAGCCCCAGGATTATGATCTCTAAAGTTCCCCTTTCTATGCATAGCATTTTCTGACATCATTCAGCATCTTTTGTTGACTTGAATTTAAGAAAATTTTGTGTAAGAAACTGTCTCCTGCCAAAATTTGTCTGGCAGGGATAGGTTCTCACCGATTTTTTTTTCCTTTAAAAAAGGCAAAAATCCCTTCTCTCTGCTCTCACTGAACACTTAAAGCTGCTCCCGCTTTTCCCTGCTCCTTTCTCTCCCAGACCCCCACGCTGGTGCCTGACAGAGGCACCGTGGGGCTGGATCGCGGTGGAGGGCGATTCCTGCCCCTCATGGCCAGCCCTGCGCGAGCCGAGGCGGCAGAAGGCCCCGTTTCCCTGCGGGGCCCTCGCGGGCTCGTTCGGGTGTCGCAGGGCTGGAAGGCGCCGTCCGTGAGGCCGGGCACGTAGCTCCGCCCGCCCTGCTGCGGCCTGCCCTCACGTGAGGCGTTTCCGTCCCTCAGACAACCGCGAGCCCTAGCGCGGCGGCACCTCTGGTTGTTTGGCTTCTCCACGCGGTTTTTTGTGCCGGCCCCAGCCGTGTTTGCTCACGCTTCGAGGCGCGGGGGTGGACTTGGGCCTGCCGGCGGGCAGCACAACAGCACAAGGGGGAATGCGGGCCTTGCGACGCCGTAACGCGGGGCTGCAAACCAAACAGGGCCTAATTCACTCAGCACATCGTGGATTAAGTCGAGATGAATCCAATTTGGAAGGGATTTTCTGAGGAAGTTGGAGATTTTTACACCCGCTGGAGGCTAAACCTCGTGTTTAATGCCTTTTTAAATTAAATTAAAACAGCATTCAATCACCGCAGGTAGTAATAAAAAAAAAAAAAGTTACTTTAGACATGTTGCTCTATTAATTATTAGCTCATTATTGGAGATAGGGAAGTAAATAGCCCCAGCCACTCGGCTGTGCCCAGCGTATATTTTAGGAGCAAACGCCTGTGCTTGTCCTGCGGGGCTGTCGGGCACAGGACTACCCACGTCACTGAGCCCGGGGCTCAGCTCCCACCATTTCTTTGAAAATATTTCTCAATTTGAGGGCTTGAACTTTTCCTACTACTTGATAAAAATAAGTCTGCCTTTTTTTTTTCTCCAGGCCTTTCCAAGTAATTAAACTCAATTAAAACTCTTAAGCTCTCCCCTTCGGTGACAATGTTGTTATCAAGGGCTGAGCGTGGGGTTTGGCTGGGAAATCCCGTGATTGCTCCCTAATCTGGCCCTCACCCCTGGCTGACACCTGGGCCAGATAAAGCCTGCAGGATGGCAGTCTGACAAGTGCTCTTAATTAATACCTACTTCCTTGTAGAAAAGCAATTATTTGCTCACAGCACAAACAGGTATTTGGCAGGGATTTTGAGAGACTGATTGGGTTAAAGTAGTAGGGCTTTATTAAAATAGTAGGGCTTTATTTTGTTTATTGTTGTGTTTTATTGTTTGAGGGCAGGGGGAGGCCTGAACCCGAACTCTGCGCGGGGCCTTCCCGCGAGCCCCGGGCTGCGGCTCGGTGCAGACATGCTCCTTGGAGTGCTTGCTTGGTGTGCTTTGGGTTAAGCAATTCCATGGTTGTCTTTCTCCTAGAAAACTACTGATAAAAAGCTACATTTGCAGAGCTGAAATAAGCTTTTGATGGAGGATTTTGCGTTTTCAAAATTAATTTTAGGTGGGATGTTATTAGCTTTTGGGAAGATACGTTGTCTCAAATTGCCATTTTGAAATGTTATCGGCTGGAAGCACTAGGTGAGTGTGCTGTGGAGCGAGCCCCGAGGGCAGTGCATGGCTCACATGGGGCTCACAGCAGGTTTGGTTTGCAGAAGGGGTTTATTAGCAGCTTTCCAGCCCTGCCTGGCATTGTCTGGGGGTTAGCCAGGGGTAGGACCCTGCTCCTGATGCTGCCGAGCAGGCGCTCAGGGCTGTTTACAGTGAATCCCTTTGCGTGGCGAGCGGTGGCTGCGGGAGATGTTTGTTCTGCTCCTGCGCTTGGTTCGTGCTCATGCGGGCTGCACCTCTGCCCAGGGACAGGTCCCAGTGACCAGCGGGGACGGAGCCAGCGCGTGCTGCTGAGCTCATTGCTCGAGCATGGGTGTCCGCTGCCTGCCAGGGCATCCCCCTGCGGCGCCAAGGAGCCATCGGTGCTGCAGGACGGTCCCTTCGGAAGGCCTCTGTCCCCCTTACCCCTGTCTGAACAGCATCGCAGATCTCTTTCAAACCCTTTACGAACCACACGGAGAAATTTGACAGCCTGTTGACTGAAACACTCAAGTGGTTTTGTGCTTTCCCGCCGGTGCGACTCTCCTGTTTACCCCGCGCTCGGGGTTTGAGGCCTGTGCAGGTGCAGCCGGGGGCTCAATCCTGGTACAAGGGCTTGTCGATGCAGCGGTGACCCCATAAATAACGACCCCGGAGCCCCGACCGGTGCCGCTCGACACCTCTCGCATACTGAGAGCGCCGAGTTGCTTTTAACTTTATCAGCCCATTCAAGGCTTGGAAACGTGCCTCGCTCTAGAGGAAACGTCCGTACTGAGAAAGCACCGAGGCCAAATCATCTCCCCAGACGGCTTCCCCTCTGGGTGGTAAAGTGCATTTTTCTGTTTTATTTTCATTCCATCACATTCTCTATCTCAAGAGAGAGACTTTTTTTTTCTCCCTCATCTATAGTTTAATCCCCATATTGTTTGGTTTAAGAGAAGGTAACTTCATACACTGTGGAAACATTCTCTACTCTCCATTAGTGATTAATACCAATAAAGCTAAAGACAAAATTTAGAGGACAAATGACAGATACCAACCAGTGAGACTTCCTAAAAGAGGTTTTAACAGCAAATGATCCTTGAAATGTATAAAAATAAATTGCTTCATTAAAAACTATTTTACAAAGTCACTCCTTCCAAGCAGCAGATATTCCCCCAAACAGCTCCCCCGTGTCACTACACCTGGGTAGTAAAACTTGATGGAGTGCGGCTTGCAGGGGCCACGGGCGGGTGCCCCGGTTCCCCCGGTGCCCCCATGCTCGTCGGCGAGCGCGTTTGGGCTTCACAGGAGATTTGGAGAGGGTTAAGTGAAGGTTAAGCCTGGAGCCTCCTAGAGCAAACGAATACATCGATTGAAATGTCCTCGTCCTGCATCGGGTGCCCTGCTAGAGCTCCTCGGCTAGTGCATTGCTGTCCTGCCATAAAACAACATAGCTCTGCCGAAATCTGCAAAAAATTAAGAGGAGAGACTGCATATAAATCTGCCTCGTTTTAGCAGAGCTTGTAACTGCCGTGGAGGGGAAACCACCCACATAAACATAAAGATGAGAGATCCCTGTCCTAATGAAGATGAATTGCAAATAAAAGCCTGTGGTGGGAGCCCTTTTCGAGTTGTCTGTTTAGTTTGAGCAGGCGCAAGGCTTTTGCGCTGGGGTTGAACAGATTATTAACCACAGATTATTTTTCCTTGCATTTTTGGAGTACTTAATGCTTAAACCAACGTGCTGCTGCAGAGCCTGTTTGCATCAGGGCACTTCTGGGCTTTTGCAGCGGGTGTAGGAAGGAGGTGAGTTACCCGGAGGTCGCGTTTAGGCATGAGAGATTGGAAAAGTGACTGAAAAAAGCAGAGCACCTGGGCTGAGAGGCTGGATGCAGCAGGGCTCTTGGGAGCGTTCCCACGTGTGGGACCACAGACGTGCAGAGCCCGTCTGGCAGCTCTGCAGAACTGTACCTCCCCCGGGGATCCCCGTCCCTGAGCCGCGTCCTGAAGTCCTGCAGGTAGCACGGCCCTACGGTGCAATGCAGCTGCGGTTCTACCACCAGCTTGGGTAGGAGCAAGCCGGGATGTGAGGAAGTTCACACACGCTTAGGGGCGTGTGGAAGGCGTTTTGAGGCAGCTCATACCTCCATTTCCACGTTATTTTAATCCTGAAGAAAGCGTTTCAGAAGCGCCGCGGGCGGCAGCGCGGGCGCCGCGGGGCCCAACAGGGCCGTCGGCGCCACAAACCCACAGGAAGGGCAGACGCAGCGGCCGCCTGGGACGAACCGGCCGAGCTGCCCCTCGAATGAGCCCCTGGTGTCTTGGGGCGCTTGACCTGGCCGTAACGGCCGGCGCTTCTGGCTCCAGCAGCCCCTGCTGCTGCCGGGCAGTTACAGCCCTTGGACAGTAAAGACGTGTTGGTGTGGGAAGAGCCATGCCAAGCTCCTATGGCAGCCTTGGAGGATGGGGTGAGAGGGCACAGCTGGGCTCTGTGGCTCTTTTTCCCCATAACCACTCACCGCCAATGCTATTGGAAATCTATTCTTGCTCCAACCTGCCAAGCAGTTCTTCCAAGTGTTTAAAGCTTCTTGTTATCCGCCTCTGAAACGGGAGGCCTGTTCAGGAGGGCCATATGCATCCTTGAAAGAGCAGAATTGGATTATCTAAAAGAGCAAAAGAAAGGGTGGGAAAATCACGTTAAGACACACTTGAGAAATAAACGGCTTTAACGAATATATCTATAGAAACAGGAATCCATAGATCCTGTGTTTGCTCTAAGACATCCCACCCCACCTCCTCCTCCCCCAAAAAGGAAAATCCCAGTGACTGGAAAAAAAAAAGCTGTTTTTTTCGTAACAGGACACTACAACGTCTGTGCGGATAGGCCTTATGATGGAAGAAATGATCTTCAACCTTGCAGATACGCATCTGTTCTTTAATGACCTGGAGGTATGTAGCTGCTTATATTCTTTAACATTTCTCTTTCTAATCATTTGCATCTGGTCTACAAACTTGTTTTTCTGGCCAAGAAACTTTCATTAGTGACCCCAAACAAGTGGGCCCTTTTGGAAGCATACCTTTGTGTGTCCCTCTGACATCTTCATTCTGTTAAGGGTTTTTTTTTCTAAATTCAGAGTAACAATGATGGCTTTTGGCAGTTTTAGTAAATCTAATAATGAGGACATTGCTGCTGCTTCTCCTGAAATTTGCTCTTTAATAAGTTTATTAAGCTAAATTAGCATAGATCCTAGGGGGCACGTAGCAATTAACTACGAGCCAGTGCAGAGGTTTGAAAACTGGTCACTGCTCCAGTGACCACTGCTCAATTCTGCAGAGAGGCTGAGCTGAGGTGAGTTCATGCACTAAACAGCAGGAGCAAAAAGCCCTTCTGTCTGGGGCAGTGTTAGGTCTGACAGCCCTGTCTGCAAAGCCAAAACCTTTTTGAGTGTGTGTTAAAATGCAGCACTTTTTACCCGTGAGATCTCAGTGTCTTGCCCAAAGCCTCTTCAGAAACCCTATGCCAATTTAGACTTTTCCTCTGTTTATAAAAGATTTAAGTGTGCAAATCATATTAAAACAACTTTTTTTTTCCTGGCTTCACTTATCACTCTAAACATGAAATAAGGCAGCAGATTGTCTGGCCTCAGTCAAGTTCTGCACATTTGTCAGTCAGTAACAGCTTTGGCTGCTAGAAGACTCCTTAGGTCACTTTTGTCTCCCAAGGCCTCTCAAATTCTTCTTTAACCACTGGAGCAGAGCAAAGTTTTTAATTATAAAAAGTTGGTTTGAGTTTTTTTTTCTTCTGTGGTTTCTAGACCTTAAGCAGCAAAAGCTACACAAAAATTCACTGAGAAATGGGACTTTTTCATCCAGCAGGCCTAGGTAGCTGAGTGAAAACTAGACCAAAATTTTAGCACTGCTTCTTCCAGTAGCATTCAGAAAAAAATGCAAAATTTCTGGGCTCCATATCCAGGACAGGAGGAGAGGCAGGTGCTGCAAGACAAATCCATTCACCAAAATGCTAAGGGGAAGCATTTCTAAGTAGATTGGGCTACAAAGATGCTAGATAACATTTCAGTTTCTAGTGCTGTTTTGTTGCTGCATGAGAAATGGAAGCAATTTTGCTGCTGTCCTGGAGTCTCTTATCAGCTTGCCTTTTGTTCCTAAAAAGTGGAGGAAGCACAAAATGGGGCAGCTGGATAGGCAGCTGAGCATAACCCCAGTGGACTTTCCAGAGGGAGTAAAGTGGCAGCACAGGCACCTCGGGGGTGAGAACAAGCCCCACTGGCCCTGGATGGTTCAAAATGATGAAAAAATTTGAGAAAAGATAGTTCTGCAGCCAGCCACAGCAGAAGGCAGCCGGGAAGATGCCTCGTGAGACAGCTTTATCTCAACTCTGGCACCGGTTCAGTCCTCAGCCAATATGCCTTGTCCATCTAGCTGGAAAGAGAAGAGCATCTTCTACTCCAAAATTTCATTTTTCCCCTTTTGCCTGTGCTTGATAGGTTTTCCAAACCAAAACCAAATTAAGGTGTTTTGTATTACCTGAGTGTTTTCAATGAAGCAATGGGGGATGAAGGAGAATTGCAAAGTGAATGTCCTCTACAAAATCGTGCATTCAGAAAAGGGCCATTTCTGCTTGGAAGTATTTGCAGCCACAGCAGCAGCAGCGCGTTCATCCATCTCTGTCCAGCAGCCACCCAGCGCCTTCGCTTTGGATGATAAATGAAAGGCTTTCAAGGTGCAGCATTAGCGAGGGCTGCTTAAGGATGATAGGTCACTAAGTGTCATGCTTGAAGAAGATGCAATGAATGATATTGTTGAAAAAAGGAAAACTAGAAACAGCAAAAACAGCAGAGGATTTGATGCAGTGCTAGACCTTGGAGGTTGCCCTACACGTTAGCACCATCGTGTGGTCCAGCACTGCCCTGTACACGCGCAGGCTGCAGCGAGGAGGCAGCAGGACAGTTGCCCTGGTCAAGGCCAGAGCACGAGGACTCTTGCTAGGGACCAACACACACCCAGGATGTTTTTGTGGCACGAATCTGTGGAGCTCCGGAGGCCGAGGAGCCCTCCCTGCCGCGCCGGCAGCGCCGCTGGCCCCGCTCGCAGTGGGGGGGGATGTCACTCCCACCTGCCGGCGACGCACGCGGCCTGGCAAGTCAGTTTGCAGCTTGTTTTAGCAACAGAGCAGCAGCTTAACTGTGGTGGCTGCAGGTTGCAGGGCTGCGCAAAGCAGGAGGCACTGCCAGCGGTTTCTGGTGCTTGTCTTTGAAAACGCCAGGCAGCCTCCTGCACTGCTGCTCTCATACTGCAAATTAGCAAACCCAAGAGGAGGGGTGATTGCGATGGGCACAGCCTGGCTGCTCAGCAGGTGCTGGCAAGCTGACAACAGGCCTTTCCAGAGCTTCCTGTGCCACGCAAGGTAACTCCAAAAGCCCCCAAACCTGGGCACGGGCCAGCCCCTGTGCAGCACTTGTGGGGCAGGCAGCGGCAAAAGGTTTGCCCCATCCTGGAGGATTTTATCAGCGTAACCCAGGTGAGCAAGGGCCTATATTTGTCAAATTCAAATCATATACGTTTTTCCACCACTGTTTACCCCAGTTGCGTATCACTTCTTCAGCACTTGTGTAGCTGTGCGGACACACTGAGTTGCTGCCCTCTGCTCCAAGGGGGAACAGCCCAGGGCTCCGGCCCTCGCGCGGGGGCAGCGCTGCTGATACCGCTCCTCTGCTCCCGCTCCCACGGGCTGGCCCGGCCTCTCGGCAGCCCCCGTGTCCGCCCCGGCTCCCCGCTTGCTGAGAGCTCAGGGAAATTCGGCAGGAATGAAAAATTAGTCTCGTAACCGGGTAGTAAAACGCAGCCCGCGTCCTTCCTGTAAGCAGCTTCCCTGCGTTTCAGCCGGTAACACGATCGGCTCAGCCGCCGCGCTATGAGGTAGCGTCTCACCGAGTGTCACGGTATTTTATTAAGTCAGAAATGCGATAGCTACTGTTGTCACACTTCAGTGTACAGAACAATTCATTCACAAATGAGAAAAGCAGATCCCTCCGCAAATACCTTTCCCCTGACTCAGTGCTCTGCGCCGCACAACCGCGCGGAGGGGGCTGCCCCGGCGGGGCCCTGCGCAGCGGAGGAGGCGCCTGCAGATGAGGGGCAGGAGAGAGGGGTGCCCTCGAGAGCGGCTCCGCACGGGCTCCCTGCGGGGCTGAAGAGGACGAGGGTAAAACTGGGCGTCTTGTTGAGAATTACCCCATGTAAGTGCTGCAGCAAATGTCATGTTGTGGAGAGAGCTCACAGGCACCTGTGGCGCTGTGCTTTGGATGTCAGACTTGGTTGCTTGTTTGGGGATTTTTTTGTTTTGGAAAGGGCCTTATTCAAAGTAAATCATAAAATTCCTCATTAGGGAGAGCAGGTCTGTAGCTTACAGGGCACTGAAAGGGGCGAAGGCCGTGGCTGCTGGTTAGCAGTTGTCCTGGCGGAGGCGGCCTGGGGCACCTGGTGCTTTTATCGTCCCCCAAAGTGAACCCAAGCGAAGGGCAGCTCGTGTCAGTGTTGTGTCCTTACCTGCAAGGGTCACGGAGAAGGGAGATTAAGTGCTAGGGGAAGCTTCCTGATTTTTCTCTTTCTACAAAGAAGCCATAGAAAAAATATCTCAAGTTTTTGAGGTAAGGCCTCCCCTATTCAAATGATGAGGATTTTTGGCTGATAAGATCTCCAGGACGTGCCTCATGCAGGCGTAGCACCGCGGGGATAAGCAGTTTAAATTTCCTGTGCGTGGATTTCCTCATTGCTGTCACACACGGCTTCTTAGCTCTGTCCATGGAGCAGGGCTGTGAAAGGTGCCTTGCTCAGTGCTTCGGCACATCAAGGGGTGCTCAACACCCTCCTCTCAGCTCAGGGGAAATGCCAGCAGGGCAGGTGCCTCTGGAAATTTCTGTGGAACGAATCTTGAAATTGTTTGGGCAAACACTTCCTCTTCAATGTGCCTGTCTCCCAGGTAAAGAGGCTGCGAAATCCATGCCTTATCATGCATACAAATTTTGATTGCACAAGCTGTGTGCTGCTTGTAACAAGGAAGCAGCTGGACTATGCTAGGCAGTACTGGTGGTGTGTAAGGCTTCCTCTTCTCAATATGACCCTGGAAGTCTCTTTCATTAATGAAACATGTTCTTGCAGGTTTTCTTTTGCAAATTATTTACTTCTGTGTGTGCTTTTTTTTCATATGCTTCTCAGGACTGTGACCAGATCCACATCGATGATGTGTCGTCAGATGACAACGGACAGGATCTGAGGTAGGGGATGTCCAGCCTGGTCCGGGCAGGTCAGGTGCTCCCCAGCTCTCTGGGAACGGCTGCTCCTAAGGTGTGGGGATCCTTGCCAAGGCGGGTTGCTGTGGATGGGAGGAACTTGTAGTAAAACTGCACCGAATATTTTGTGTATAACTAAGCTCATCATCATGTAAGCAAAAGCTACTTCTGTACAGTTACATAGTCCTTTCCCTGCAATGTTTCCTGCAACGTCGTGGTAGCTGGTGCAGGAGTGAGATGTGCAGAGCTCAAATATAGTTTTATGATTTGGGTTTTTATGGATGGTTGTATAATTGGTATAAAAATTGGATATATAAATTAGTGCAGAAGCAGCACAGAAAGCAACATAAGTGTTTTAGGGAAAAGGCTTCCTGCAGGGAACGTCATTTGGATTTGAGTGTAACTGAAGTGCAGGTCTGTGCGTTGCCACGTGCTGAAGCTGCTCGTCTGTGCTCAGTTCCACTGGCTCTGGCAGCCTGTGAGTCTGGATATCTCTTCAGCCAGTAATTAAAACAATAATTTGAGTTTTCCATCAAATAAATCACTGCGCTTGCCCACGCTGAGCGAGTGAGAAAAGGCAATATCTAACAGCAGCTCTTAGATCCTGTGACAACCCCAGCCTAAATGGCTGCAGTCATTTCAGGAGTGCTCCTTAGCTGCTTAGGGCTGGTCGGCGTGGGAAATGAAGCCGAGCTGACTGAAGTGTGTTGAGCACGTTAAACTCTTGCCCGAATTCCCTAATACAGAAATACAGCGGCCTCAGGGCTTCCTGGCCGGGGAAGCTGCCGTGCAGTAAATGAGGCTGTGGAGGCCTCGGCTCAGAGGGCGCCTCGCGGGGCCTTGCAGGAGCCCGGGGGCAGCAGCGTTGCCGTCGCGCTGACCGCGTGCCCTCTCCCTTCCCCAGCACGTACAACTTCTCCGCGGACGGTTTCCACAGCTCCACGGCCAGCGCCAACCTGTGCCTGGGCTCGGGCGTTCACGGGGGAGTCGACTGGATGAGGAAGTTGGCGTTCCGCTACCGCCGCGTCAAGGAGATGTACAACACCTACAAAAACAACGTGGGCGGTGAGTGTCGCCGCCGGGCGCCCCGCGGCCTCTTGTCTTCCCAACTCCCGGCCCGGCTCTGCTGGGAGCTCCGGAGGAGGCACCGGGGCGGCCGGGCCGACACTGCCCACTGAGCTGGGCAGCTATTGCAGCCGTCAGCCTTAAATCAGCGCTGCCCACTGGTGCCTGCTGCGGTGCGTGGAGAAGGAGCAAAACCTGAGCTGCTTAGAATTCCTTCGGCAGAGAAGCACCCTTTCCCAGTTTTCCCAGTTTTCCCAGCTGCTTAGTAAACACACAAGGAGTCCCAAGCCAATTCTACCGGTTTTTCCACAGGAGAACTCGTAGCGTAGGAGGGTGCTGGGGTGGGCAGAGCTCCCGCCCCAGGATCGGGAGCAGGGCGGTGGGAAAGGCCGGGCACGGAGCGTCACCGGGGGGAGCCGGGGGCCGTCGCCCTGCGCAGCCTCGTGCTGGTCTGTGCCTACAAAAGGGCTCTCCTGCCTGCAGGTTTAATAGGTGCTCCGAAGAGGGAAACCTGGCTGCAGCTGAGAGCAGAGCTCGAAGCGCTGACTGATCTCTGGCTCACACATGCTCTGAAGGCTCTGAATTTGATACATTCCCGGTAAGAACAGCTTAAAGTATTGCCTCCAGGCTTGATCCAGGATCTCCTTTGCTTCCCTTCTTTTCCCCCGTCTAAACAAATCGAGACACATTTATGGGACTTTGCTGGCCAAACCTGTGGGAGGCCTGTCTGCACGTGTTTGCCAGACTTGTATTATCAAGGGTTGAGTGAGCTCGAGATGATGAACTGAGCAAAAGAAAAAGCAGTCCTGCTTCCTGCCTGTCTTTGGCTACATTATTTGTGGCACACCTGTCATGTGAGCAGGTTTCCAAGAGAACAGAAAGGGAGAAAAGGTCCCTGAATATGTTCATTCAAAGAAACAAGCATGGACATAACTTTGCAGTGTCTGAATTCCCACAAAATGGATGCAAGCAGTAAGACTGCATCACTGCTGCTCTCTTTTGTGAGTTTTTTCATTCCACTAATTTATTAAAGTGACATGGCCAGTACTTGGGTCTGCCTTGAGCTGCAAAATCCGCAGTGGTTGGGAGACGTCCCTCCCGCTGCAGGAGGGGTTTGCTCCCTGCCATCCTTCAGCTCAGAGCAGAAGAGGGACACGGATTGCCACCTCTGCTCACGTTTCTGTCTTCTAGGTCTAACTGTGTGAATGTGTTGGTCACCACAACGCAGCTTATACCAGCTCTTGCGAAAGTGCTTCTCTATGGACTGGGCACTGTCTTCCCCATTGAAAATATTTACAGCGCAACAAAAACAGGTAAGAGCAAAGTAATTAAGGCCTCAGCCAATGATTGATTGAAGTTTTGTCCTTGAATGAGACATGTCTGCCCAGTTGATTGCAACAAGTGACATATGAGCTTTGTTTTTGGCACTGTTTGCACGTGCATAATTCACAGCCTGACCACTCATACCTAAGCTGAATACAGACTGCCGAAAATCTAAGTCTTTCCAAATATCTCCGTGGGTAAGAGAGCCTTAACAACAACCAGCCTTGGGAGCACCTCTGGCATGCAGGATGCCCCGCTGCATCCAGCTAGGAGGAAGACAGTCGGGTTCAACCTGCTGCAAAAGCACAGACGGGATCCTGTTACTGAGGGCGAGGGATGGAGCGAGCTTAGGAAGACTTGTGTGAGCGCTGAACATTGGCAGGGTTGGCTGCAACTGGAATGAACTGAAAAGGTCTCTCCAGACTGAATGCCATGACTGTCACTTCACGCTGCCAACTGTAGGGCTAAGCAGAGGATCGGGTGTCCCTTAGCTTTCGGAAAACTTCCAGCAGCACTTGGAAGTCCTTAATTGATAAAGAAAGTGCTAGTAGCTGTCGTGATGGAGAGGCTCCCTCTCAAGTGGAGATTCAGTCAGGTCCTCATTTCAACAGAAAATGAGGAATGTAGAGGCAAACTTAACGAGCTCCCAGCTCCAGCTCAGTGCCAGCTCCACCTGCCACACGTGTCCGGGTAACAAATGTGTCTTCTCTTCTGTTGCTCAGGCAAAGAGAGCTGTTTTGAAAGAATAATGCAAAGGTTTGGAAGAAAAGCCGTGTATATTGTAATAGGAGATGGTGTTGAAGAGGAACAGGGAGCAAAAAAGGTACAGTTTGTGGATGCCATCCTGGATTCTTCCAAGTTTTCATTTCAGTGGCCCTGTCTTTATTTAAGTTTTAAAAAAAACCTCCTTCCCTTTGAAACAGTTTGCAGTTGGTCGCATTTCTTCATATGCAAAATACTCAACAACTTTTGGAGAAATTTCTTACTGTAAATCTCCCCACCTCAGCAGCTAGTGCAATTTTTCAGGTGGTCCCTATCCTGCCATGTGTTCCAGGGTTTATTCTTGCTTAATAAACATGGCTTTGAACATACGAAAAGGAACACACCATGTGTGTGATCTCAGGTCAGCAAGCAGGGTCAGCTTCTGCTCTATACACATTATTCCTATAAATTCCAAACCTTTGGATTTTTTTGGTGATTTTTAAAAATATATGTGTATTTATATGTACATACTCATACTATAGATGTATATTGCTCAGTGGGGTCACAGGGCCTAAAGTCATTCGAGTAAATGCATTTGCAGCATAGGATTATTTTGTGCATCCTGGGTCTTATGCTGCTGACATGACTGTGGGAAGGTGATTGAGCTGCATTTGCTCACTGTGCAGTGCGTGTTGCACGTAAGTTGGGATGCAGTAACCGACTGCGTGAACCTCTCCTCCAGCAAGCGAGTTATATTTTTAATAGGCACCCAGGTAGCTGCTGCAGCTCAGGTGATGTGTGACAGTTTTATCACCGCAGCCGAGTGGTGCAGCTGAACTTTGTGCTGCAAGATTTGAAAGGCCCTTTGGAGTGAAGCTGCTGCAAGCGCTTGCCAAGAAAGGCAGTCCCATTGGGTGGGATCCCAGCAAGCAGGACAATAAGCACCTGTCCTGTCCCCAGAGTTCTATCTCACCTCATCTTTAAAGCATCAGAAACACTCTCTTTTGTGTATTTGTTTCCTCTTGTCAGTGAAAACGGGGATAATAAACCTCCCTTTTGAGAGTTAGCCACAGCTGTAGCTGGTTCTCTAGTTCATGAAGGGTTAAGGAGTCCTCAGAAGAATCCCAAGTGCCTGTCTGGGAATGAAGTGATAATAGACTGCTGCTTTTGACAGCCCAGGGCCTGCTTCAAAGGTAGTGGGTCAGTGACCAGGAGGGCATCAAAGGCTGCCAGGCTCTGGGGCAGTAGGAAGAAGTGGGAAGGTTCAGTGATCTTCTATGGGCAGGATTTCAGGAGCCCTCCTGCTTGTGTCTCCTGGCCTGAGCGGCTCTCCCGTTAATGGAGCACATTCCTTGCTGGGCTGTCGCCTCCTTTGATTGATGACAATCATTAGTCAAGGCTGCCACACACCTGAGCTTTGTACAAAAAAGAAGCTGAGAGCCTTTCACTGTTCTGCCGGCAGCACTGATAATATCTCCATTTTAGTGGGTCATTTTTCTTCACCTGTCTGATGAGTGATAAATCTGTAAAAGCAGAACAATGGGAGTGGCTGGGAGGGCAAGTTTTCTTCTCTTTAAAGAGAGAAAAATAGATAATTTAATGGAATGGGTTTAATAACCACCATGGAAAAGCGTGGGAGAAGGAAATAACTTCTCTCTAAAGTGAAATTATGGAGCAGTGGATTCCAGTCACTTCAGATGTTGGTGTTTGCTTGCTGTCTCACTGATAAGTAGCTTCAAGGAAATCCTTGTTTACTGATAGGCAACATAGCAGAGGGAGGTTTGAGCTGTGTCAACAGACACGCTGTAAACTCGGCGTCTAGAAGCACTGGTAGGTGCACTTGGAAGAGGAGCTTCCTTCAGCAGAATCATCTGTCTAGGAAATACATATTGTCCAAAGCCTTGTGCAGGCTTTTTACTTGTGGCGGTATGTTTATAGTTTAATTAGTCTTTATTTAAAAAAAAAGTGGGGGGAGAGAAATGATTCCTACCCTGGAAGAAAAATAACATCTGCTGATTAAGGCTTTCCATACCTTTATAACTGCATACAGACACCAGCTTTTTAGGAAGAGAAATTCCAAATGTTGTTACAAATTGCACATGTGGGTCAGAGCTGCATCTCTAGCATTCTGTCCATAGGGTTCTAGATGACTGTTTCTGCCTCAGCTCCCCGGTGTAACTGACCCTCAGTCACCTCACAGCACTCACAGAAAAGCTGATATTTCCTCCTTTTCAGATGCAAGTCTTATTTTCCAAGAGCATCTACACACTTTTCCTGAACTGAGTCAAGCTACTACTACTATAAAGAAGAGGTCGTAGGTCCCAGATCGTTGCCCTTTCCAGATTTAATCCAGCCACCAGAGGCAGTGCAGGAGGAAGTGGCTGATTAGCATTTGCTAATACGTGAGTCCAGATTTAACAGAGTAAATCTCATTTGAAGAACTGGCAGGCTGGGAAGCACATACGAGTTTCTTAACAGTGGGACCTCATTGCCTTCCTGGAAGATGGGTTATCATATTATTCTATTGCACCTGAACAACTGCTCTGAGCAATGATAACTAATTTCTACATTACCAGAAATACATTCTGAGCTATTGTTTAACTTGGAAGGGAAATTAATTCTTAGAAAGCATTTTGGCTTTGTCTGATATTACAGCTTTGGTTTACATTCCAGTATTTTATGATTCTTTTTGTATATGTGCACACAAATGCACAGAGTTTACTGGTCTATGAAGCACTCACAACAGCTTTCAAGAGGAGTAAACAGACCAGCACTGGAGTATGGGTTATAGGAAAGGATTTTGGCACTTGCTGGAGAGTCATTGAAGATTCCTGTATCGCGTATTACTGTAGGCAGTGTAGCGTTACGTGGCATGAAAATCATTTCTAATAGCGATGTAGCTCTAGAAACATTCCTAATTAAGGCGGGAAGAAATCAGGGAGCAAAGTGCAGCAGCCAGCGCGTTCCGAACGGCGCTTCCGAACGGCCCATTTCGCGCCTGTGCCCGGGGCCCTTCCGCCAGGACACGGCCTGGCCCAGAGGAGCCGCCAGGGCCCCGTGCGCAGCTCTGCGCCTGGGGGGCTGTTTTGCTCTCACTATTTAATAAAAACAAGCAAAAACCCAAACCCCTCTCTTGGTTTCGCTCTAGCACAACATGCCCTTCTGGAGAATCTCGTGTCACGCTGACCTGGAAGCGCTTCGGCACGCCCTGGAACTTGAATACTTGTAGCTGACCCAAACACCTTAGCACTGTGAGGGCTTCACTCGAAACCAGCACGTCGGTTCCACCTATTCCGCGGCATTTCCTTACTAAAAAAATCCCACAGCACCTGCAGCTTCTCTTTGTTTTGGAAGGAGAGCCGTTTCCGTGGAAGCCCTTAAGAACTTGCAGCCAAAGAACATTGTGTCAAGTCTTTCTTCCTTTGAACAGAGGAGAAGTCTCCAGGCAACCCCCAGGGGATGCAGCAGGTCTCTGGTTTGCTGGATCCACAGAGCCTCAACAACGAAACAAAAGACTAGAAATTTGGGGTCTGCTCGCCTGTTTTATTGCCCCAAAAGGGGGCAAGGATGTAGTAAGGAATCCCCGAGCACGCTCTGTGCACACTGCTCCGCAGCACATGGGACCTTCTGAAAATAAGAGTGAAACTGTGTCTTTTTTTTTTTTTGGTATT